CCTGAAAAACACCTACACACAATACCTCCAGAAATAAATTATTTGTCATTGTCAGTGGTGTGTCAGTTAGATTATATATTAAGCTTTTAGATATTTTAGGAGTGAGTTCATATCGCCAGCTTTAGATACATAAATATTAGCACAAAGGTTCGTTTAAACGACATTAGTGAATTAGCTACACAAAGCGATTTTAGGAAATTCATCCTCTTAGAGAGTAAAATTATGTCGGAACAGTTTGTTGTATGAAAATTCCTTACTATTTGGTCTAGAAGAATGAAATCCTACAAAAAGAATTAGAAGAAATTTTTGAAATTCATCAACCAAATGGGTAAAGTTAGTAAAAATTTATATAAAACTTGGTGACCTCTGGATTATACACATAAAAATTGGCACAAAGATAAAGCAAATTTATGAAATTTATACACTTAGGGAGTAGAATAAGGAATGAAAGTTTGCTGTACGAAAATGCAATACTATAACATTATAAACCAGACAGTATAAAATTTTATACAAGGGTTTATTTAGTGACATCATAACGAAATATGTCTTCCTCAATTATCCTTCAAAGAATAAAAAATAACCTATAGAGTATTAGTGCTCTTAATAAATATAAAAAAGATGAAAAATAAAAAACATCTATGCTCACTAGCTCTCTATAAAGAAGTAAAAAATCATTTAAATCAATGCATGAACGATTCGAGGTGTAACGTACGGAAGCGCTTTTTTTTAAATTCAACTATATAAAACTTGGTGACCTCTGGATTATACACATAAAAATTGGCACAAAGATAAAGCAAATTTATGAAATTTATACACTTAGGGAGTAGAATAGGGAATGAAAGTTTGCTGTACGAAAATGCAATACTATAACATTATAAACCAGACAGTATAAAATTTTATACAAGGGTTTATTTAGTGACATCATAACGAAATATGTCTTCCTCAATTACCCTTCAAAGAATAAAAAATAACCTATAAAGAGAGTATTAGTGCTCTTAATAAATATAAAAAAGATGAAAAATAAAAAACATCTATGCTCACTAGCTCTCTATAAAGAAGTAAAAAATCATTTAAATCAATGCATGAACGATTCGAGGTGTAACGTACGGAAGCGCTGGAGGACCAGTATGTATTTTTTTTAAATTCAACTATATAAAACTTGATGACCTCTGGATTATACACATAAAAATTGGCACAAAGATAAAGCGAATTTATGAAATTTATACACTTAGGGAGTAGAATAGGGAATGAAAGTTTGCTGTACGAAAATGCAATACTATAACATTATAAACCAGACAGTATAAAATTTTATACAAGGGTTTATTTAGTGACATCATAACGAAATATATCTTCCTCAATTATCCTTCAAAGAATAAAAATAACCTATAAAGAGAGTATTAGTGCTCTTAATAAATATAAAAAAGATGAAAAATAAAAAACATCTATGCTCACTAGCTTTCTATAAAGAAGTAAAAAATCATTTAAATCAATGCATGAACGATTCGAGGTGTAACGTACGGAGGCGCTGGAGGACCAGTATGTATTTTTTTTAAACTCAACCGGTTGATTTTCACACTCAACTGATTGACTTAATACTCAACTAGTTCAGTTTCCAAACTCAACCAGTTGACCTTATAAAGTCAACCAGTTGACTTTATAAACTCAACCAGTTGACTTTATAAACTCAACCAGTTGACTTTATAAACTCAATCGGTTGACTTTAGAATTTAAACCGGCAGCGCAGCACGCGCACTCGCCGCACGCGGTTCATTGTTGTATCAGTATTCGTAGTAACTTGTTTTGTTTACATGTTTACGTGCAATCACAAAACCTAAACTTAAGGTATTCTAACTTGTGCTCGCTTTATTATAATAATTATTTTAAATCAAACCTTAGACCTTAGAGCAAAGATAAAATTTCATTTCTCAAATGCATATAGGCATTGATTGCTTCATACGCATTAGTTGGTTTGTCAACATGCATTTCAGATGACAATATTTCACATAAATCGAAAACGTCGTTATCAAAGCACGGAGACTGCAAATACAAGCATTCCTCCTCGCAGTCTTTAAAACGCATGTTGTTTACAACTGTAAGGTAATTTTGACAGCCCTCAAGTTCTGGGAACTCGCAAAGTATATCGGGACGTCCAGATGGTGAAACGCTGTGACGGCTTCTGCGTATGATACAGATTTGTCTATCAAAGTACAATCAAAGATTCCATCACTTGTCATTTGCCGGAATACATCGTTTATCCAGAATTGAGTATTGTTTTTTTCTTAAAATTGCCCACCAGGATTCAATTCTTTGATTGCTGTGGCTCGTGCCATATAATCCGGTGGCAATGTACTCTCACGCACGTTATCTGCCATCTCATTAAAGTAAATCTGCATAGATTCTAAATGAACGTTTTCGGTGTCCATGTCGCTTCTTACAGTTCTGGGGCAGCCATTTACATCTTTTATTGTTTTAATATAGTAACCAGATATATCTCGAGGATTATTGTTGGTACTTGCAGCTTTCAGCCATAACATTTTACGTGCAAATCCATCGATGCAGCCGCTAATACATATTCATAAGGCTTCAGTTTGTCATAACCATCAACATGCCGCAAATAGTTGGGACCTTTGTTGAAATACTGCCTCCTTTGGAGTCGTTTTCTCCTTCTTGTTGAGACACCCTGTGGGTCGATAGAATTCAACGCATTACGAATAATATTCTAACATTTAGTCCTGCTTGCTAACATTTTCGGTGCATCCATTTATATCCATGCAGTTTACTTGAAGAAAGCACGTTTTCACTGATAAAATCTACTATATTTGGTAATGGAGCATCATTTTTTCTCCGATATAAATTCAAATACCGCAGACGTCGTTTCAAAGTTTTAAAACTAATAGTGAAGTTCTGTTGTAGAAGGAGCAACAGTATTTCATGTTTTTTGTAAGCCCAAATAGAAGTAGTATTTAATGGCGTTATTCAAATGTGGTTGCTCCATGTTATCTTTCCAATTCACCGTACATTACAAACTTTTACACAAAAAGGCGTTTTATTTTAGGACTTCACGAGAGGAGAGCGCGTGGATACATGTGCACGGAAGCGCTACACATGTGAGAGTGGAATAGAAATAATCTATGGAAATAATTTAAGATGCTTGAGAAACTCAACCGGTTGAGTTTATAAAGTCAACTGGTTGCGTTTATAAAGTCAACCGGTTGAGTTTGGAAACTCAACTAGTTGAGTATTAAGCCAATCAGTTGAGTGTTAAAATCAACCGGTTGAATTTAAAAAAAATACATACTAGTCCTCCAGCGCTTCCGTAGTAACGCGAACGTAGTCGCGGGAAAAAGCTAGTAATTTATTAAATTATTTTATTTAACTGATTAATTTTCATTGAAAAGGAATTTTTGTAATTCGCCACTATATTAGTTAAAAACTAAGAAACTCATATCAAATTTAAGTTTTGCAATTTTGACTTATACTTTTTACAAAATCTGAACACATTTTAAAAGAAAAAAAAGCTTTTGATAATATTTGTGTAGATTGACTACAAGTTGTATAACATAAATTTCTACGACCCGTCTACCTAGTGGTCTGCAGCATCGCCTTGTGGTGCAAACGTGGGCCTGTTAATCTGTGACGTGACGCACAACAGCCAAGAAAAACAGAAGCGTGGCTAAGAATTTAGTAATTTGAAAATAAATTTCTTTTAAATACAGTAGTAGGTATTAAAAAGTTTTGTGTTTAAATGGGGTTTGCCTTTAACAGTTAAAAAATTATATCGTAAAGTGTAACTTTCCGTAAGAATTCTTTATCTGTTATCGATCATGATCTGTCATCATGTTAACCTGATGTTTTGTATGTTATTTTGTTTTTTTGCTTGTTTGTTTTACAGATAGGTGCGATCGCATAATTATTATTGATAATGTTTTATTTAATGTTAACATTACTACTTTTTCAGTGAATCTTTAAATCTGTTGTTTTTTGTTAAGCTTGTTATTTAAAATATGTATGTAATACACTCATATTAACACTAATCATATTTTTACGTTTTTATTCATCATTTTCAATGCCCCCCCGGTTGCATCTTTGTAAAGGACTGAATTTTTTTCACAATATTTTGAAGTAATCACTTATCAGTCAAATTTTAAATATATTAATTTCCTGCTATGCGTTTCAGTTGTACCAATTTATTTCTTTGAAAAAATAAAATAAACTACTTTGAAATTAAAATGACAGATACGTCTATCACTGTCAAGGATCTTGTCGTTGGACAGACTATATGATAAATTATACGCATCTTTCGATAGCGGAGATTTCTGCCTGAAGGATGCTGGGGTAGTTGCTCATTGATTCGGAGTATTAAGTTTTCGGCCTAAATACTCCTATCCCTGCTTTGATTTTGGAAGCATCAGTATACCACGTTATGGTATGGTCTTTTACATGCTGACCAAACGTTTTCTAACCTAGTAAGAATCGTACACTCCAAAAGTAACTATTTTAGAGACATATTTCAAGGATTCACAATAATCTTAATATAAATCAAGTCGTGATTTACTTTGATTTAAATAAGAAAAATCTTCGGGTTGTCATGGGTTTTTAACAGAACACTGTCTCCTCAACGAACATCTCAGTAGATTGAAGCTAACAAACAACGGTCAATGCAGATTCTGTAGGAAAAATGGGGAAACACCGGAACGCCTCTTCACTGAGTGCGCCGAGACGACAACCGTTCATAAACTTTGGTAGAGAAGTAACCTTTGTAAAACCGTCCGAGATACTGGTTTTGTCAAAACCCTGAGACTGATATAACTCAAGAAAGGGGGACAAAATAGATCTACACGGTAGCGGTGATTAACTTTAAACCATAAAAAACACAAAAAAAAAGAAACAAAAATAATATTTGTCCTTCCTTAGTCAAAGAAAGAAACAAATTAATGTAAGACCATTATAAACAGAAATAAAGATAAACGTAATAACAGTACAAATAGACATAAACTTACCTAACAAATGACATGGGGCGTCGTCTATTGTCGGCCACCACTGTGGGCGTGCTAGCCCCCAACTTTCTGTGTATTTGGGGGCTGGGAGGGTACACAGCGACTCCGCCCCTCATGGCGGGGTGATAAGTTCGCGTCGTGGACTGGGGAGCGTACATCTGCTGCTGGGTGGGACTAGTCGGGTTCGATCGGTAAAAGTCGGGCTGTTGAGCCGACGGCGGATAACCTAGAAAGAAATCGTAATAATGCAGAAGAGTGTATAGTTCGGGTATTTTTAAACAGACCTGAACGATAGTAAAATATAAATAAACATACGGTAATCGTAAAACAATTTCCGATGCACGTCATCAACTTTGAGTGACAAGCGATGGCGACAGCGCTGCCAGATTGTGACAGATTTATAGGGTGAATCTTAATGCAAAATCGGGAAACAACATATTTATTATATCATTTTTTAAAGATTTTACGTGTTATTTTTAATTTAATAATTAATATTTTAGTAATTTTTTTATTTGTTTTATAGCTTATGTTACTTATTACATATTGGTAAAAACTAGTCCATTATGAAGATTATTCTAACCGTTATTATGGGTTATTTATTTATTTATTTATGTACAACTTACAATACCACAAGTGGTAATAAAAAGTAAGAGAGTGCCATTAATGCACAAACCACGGGGGTGTCACTTGTATGGGAAAACAGGCAACAGTCAAATTTAAACGTGCCAGGACCAACGACAAAGAAAGCAACATCTGCCAGGCATTGGCTTTCTTTGTCACTCACATTGCTTAAATCATGATACCGCGGCCATTTTGCCAACAAAGAAGCTGACCGGGCTGTCCTGGCAAGTGATTTGAAAGAATTTTGCTTTTTTTAGGGTTGCCAGATGGACAGTGTATAAAAGTAGGACAATTGTACAAAAAAGCCTGATTTTTGATAAAAAAGCCGGACATTTCTTTACTTATTAAGCATTTACACAAAGCAGTTTAGAGAAAAGATTCGGTTCTTGTTATTACAGATTCTGAACAGTCCTAGAACTGTGATGCATATGCGCAGAAGGAAATATGAAGACATTATTTCATTTGCGCATGCGCTGCAGAGTTCTAGGACGGTTCAGAATCGGTAATAACAAGAACCCGAACAAAGCTAAAATTTCAATAAAATTATTTTCTTTTTTTTATCTTATACACTAATGAACCGGTCTTGGTTTGATTTTTTATGGTTGACCAAGTTGCCGGCCTATGCGGGTTGCACTTTGCACTTTTAGTATTATAAAAATCGAAATTAATTAACAATTTTTCGTAAAATGGAAAAAAGCCGGACATAAAGAAAAGCCGGCCGGACATTAACAAATTGCCAAAAAAGGAGGACATGTCCGGCTTTAGCCGGACGTCTGGCAACCCTACTTTTTTACAATATTAAATTACCATTTGGATGTATTTAATGCGATTATTCAGTTAACTGGTAAGTCAGAAATTACACACAAATACTTTATTCGTAAATACAACTAAGATGTAAACGTATTTTTGTATTTTTAGATTTCAACTTTTGCAAAGACCCGCCGATAGAACTTGCCTGGCAGCGTACCTGTTTAACCAAACGTATTATTTCCTGATAATAATATCAAAACACGTAAGTAATTCTATAATTTATGATGAAAAATGATTTTGATTATGTTTTATATTATTTAAATACTTTCTAACCTCAAATAATAGTAAGAAGATCCTTGTTTATATCGCACAGCCCGTTCAAAACTGTATTGTCTTCAAAAAAATGTTTACAAAACAAACAATTATTAAAAAAACAATGTCCTTTAATCTGATTTATACCTCAGAAGGATGCCAGTAAAATTTTATTAAATCAACATTATATTATTTGGCCGTTAATATGCAAAAAGGAACATATTGCCTTTAACTTAAATTTTCTTTTTACTTCTCCTGACAATGTTCTCTATATTCTCTATTTTGAGTTAGTAAACTTTTGAACGGGATGTGCGATATATAAAATACATAATATATCCAAGGGTATGATCTGATAAAAGTATTTTTTGATGCATTTTTTGGTTGTTTATGCACGTTGGCTTGGTTTATGTTTTATTCAGCTTATATTTATTTGATATAACAGTTTTTTTGCCTTTGGAATGGCATGCATTGAGGCTAGATAGTGTTACGGATTCCGTGGGTCCACTATTTAAACTCACGATAAAATACTTAACGAATTTATTTTCTCACTTTATATACAATTACTAACTTATAACACACAACAAACTAACTATTTATAAGATTCCTTCACCAAATTGTCCGATTTTCAATTTCCACGCGGTATATTCAAATTTCAAAAACTGTCTCAGTTGTCGATGGCTCCGGCTTATATACTCTATTGACTGCTTCTCGAAATTTCCCAATTCTCGGAAAGCGTACTTCTTCATACCAGACAATTCTATTGTCTGATTCCCTTACTTCTCGACTTGACTAAAAGATGGCGCCTGAAAAGTCTTTAATTTCTCTGGCGGATACGTTGCGGTTGTGCAGGCAACCAGTAATACATTTTTAATTTCTGGCGGATGCGCCATTTTTCTTGACATTGCCCCTTTCAAATTTGATCGTCCTGATCAAGGTTTCCGGTCTGGTATCTCTTCAATCGAACCAGATGAACTACTTTCATCTTACTTCTAGGGCTGCGTTGAATCCGGTACACAACATCATTTATCCTCTTGATGACTGTATAAGGACCTTCCCATGCTGGAGTTAACTTTGGGGACTTCCTTTCTTGCGCTGTGGGTTATATAACCATACCATATCGTCCTGTTGAAATCCCGTAGAATTAGCTCTGAGGTCGTAACGAGCTTTCATCCGGTCACTGGCTAGCGTAATCTTACTTCTCACGGCCTTATGAATTCCCAATAACCTTTCCTTCAGTTCATCCGCGTAGTCCTTCACGTTCGTGGTGCTGTCGTCTGGTGATCCGAACACCAAGTCACAAGGCAAACGTAATTCTCGACCAAATAAAATCTCTTCGATGGTGAAAGTCCGGTGGTGTTGTGAACTGCACTTCTATATGCCATTAGGAATAGTGGTATATGCTGATCCCAATCTCTTTGATGTTCATCCACCATTTTCGAGAGATGTTCTTCAATGGTCTTATTGAATCTTTCGACCATCCCATCAGACTGCGGATGTAAAGCTGTTGTCCTAGTCTTGTGAATACCAAGCAGATCACACATCTTCTGGAACAGTCTTGACTCGAAGTTCCTTCTTTGGTCAGTGTGAAGCTCTAAGGGAATTCCAAATCTACTGAAGACATTATTGACCAATACTTCAGCTACAGTCGATGCTTCTTGGTTTGGAATGGCAAAACTTCTGGCCATTTACTGAAATAATCCATCGCTACTAAAACGTACTTGTTGCCCTTTGTGCGTTTCAGGAATGGGCCTGCAATGTCAACAGCGATTCTTCTGAATGGCAGTCCAACGTTATATTGTTTCATTTTTCCCCTAGAGCGAGTGCTTGGTCCTTGGCTGGCTGCACAAGTTTTACATTGTCGACACCATTTCTTGACATCTTCGCAATAATCCACCCAGTAAAAACGATCTCAGCTTGCTCAAGGTCTTGTTTACTCCAAGATGGGCTCCAGTTTTACCACCGTGAATTTCTTCCAATACCTGGGTAACTTTCTTCCTTGGTACCAGTAACTGAGTTGTTACTGTCCTGCCATCCGCACTTTCCCACGTGCGCTTTAACAATCCATTCTCAATAACCAGTGAATTCCACTGAGCCCAGAGAGCTTTGAAAACGAGCCCTCTGTCCGCAATATCCTGCCACGGTGGTCTCTCGCCGTTACCTTCCTTTGAGCCGTAGTATTGTCTGATGTCTGGATCTTCCATTTGATCTTTCCTCAATTGTGTCGTCGTCCACTGTTCATCGGTTCCAAGTTTAAAACTCCTTATCATGACAGTGCCTTCACGTTGTTCCGTTTTGCAGCAGTGCATACATCGGTTTGACAGGGTCTTCTGGATAAACCGTCTGCGTTACCATGCATTTTCCAGCACGATGTTGGATGGTAAAGTGATACTGTTGGAGCCTCGAGCCATCGTGCTATTTGACCTTCAGGTTGTTTCATCTCCATAAGCCACTTGAGAGCCGCAATGATCTGTCCTAATTAAAAATTCTTGGCCGTACAGATATTTATGAAAATGATCAACTGCCTTCACAATTGCTAGCAGCTCCTTCCGGGTAACGCAGTAATTCCTTTCTGGTTTGGATAGAACCTCGACTGTAATATTCTATCACTCGTTCTTCGCCATCTTGCACTTGTGATAGCACTGCACCTATGCCGATATTGCTGGCGTCGGTATCCAGGATATACCTCCCTTGTTGTTGCGGGTAGGCTAGAATAGGACTTGAACATAAAGCCGCCTTAAGTCTTCCAAAGGCTACATCACAATCGGTGTTCCATTCAGCCGACTTCATCACCTGTAAGTCTATGTAAGGGTGCAGCTATATTGGTAAATCCCTTGACAAATCTTCTGTAATAGGTGCATAAACCCAGAAAACTTCTAAGTTCATGTTTGTCGCGAGGTTTAGGCCAATCCTTGATTGCAGCGATTTTCTTCTGATCGGTGTAAATTCCGTCTGCCGAAACTACATGACCCAAGAATTCCACTTTGTCGCTGGAATAAGCTACACTTCTTCGGGTTCAAGCACAGGTGCGCATTCCTTATGCGGCCGAACTTCTTCTAAATTTCGCAAATGCTCCTCAAAAGTTCTTCCCATAACCAATACATCGTCGAGGTAAACCAAGCACGTTTTCCAAGTTAATCCTCTTAACACCACCTCCATGAGACGTTCGAAAGTGGCTGGAGCATTGCATAATCCAAACGGCATGACCTTGAATTGATATAGTCCGTTTCCTGTAGAAAAGCCGCGTCTTTTCTTTTGTCTTCCTCGTCTAGACCAACTTGCCAGTATCCACTCTTTTAAGTCGAGAGTGGAGAACCAGCACGAACCTGCCAGAGTTGTTAATGTGTCATCTATACGTGGCAGTGGGTAGCTATCCTTCTTAGTGACGTCATTGAGCTTCCTATAACCACGCAGAATCGTGTACTACCATCTTTCTTCGTCACCAAAACAACAGGAGATGACCATGGACTTGATGATTCTTCGATTACCCATCTTCTAACATCTTATCTACCATTGTCTCCATTTCTTGTTGTTTGAAAGGGCACC